GTTTATATGGGAACCGACGTAGAAAGTATTTTCTACGTCGGTTGACTAAGAACCGACGTAGAATGTGTTTACTATTCAACTTTCAACGTCGGTTCATCTGGGAACCGACGTGGAAAGTACTTTCTACGTCGTCTCATCTAGGAACCAACGTGGAAAGTACTTTCTACGTCGTCTCAGCTATAACCGACGTTAAATGACGACGTAGAAAGTATATTTTGTAGTAGTGTATTCCTAATAAGAAGAACGAAGAGGAAGAGAAAAAACAAAAGATAGAAAAAGGAGGGAGTCAAAAATCATTTGTAGAGAAGTTACCATATCCCAAGGTTCCCTCACAGATAGACAAAGAAAGACAATTCACCAAGTTCATGGATATATTCAAAAGACTGCAGATCAATATATCCTTTATGAAAGCAATGGAGCAAATGCCAACATATGTCAAATTCATGAAAGAGCTCTTAACTAAGAAAAGAAGATTTACTGATGAAATAGTAGAGTTAGAGGTAGGGTGCAGTGCTATATTCTAGAAATCATTACCTCAAAAGTCCAAGGACCCTAGAAGCTTCATTATACCAGTCACAATTGGTACATTACCAGTGAAAAAAGCATTACTTGATTTAGGGGCCAGTATAAACCTTATGTCATTATCTATACTCAAAATAATAGGAGACTTGAATGTTAGACCAACTAGAATGACTTTGCAACTGGCTAACAGATCAATAAAGATTCTTTATGGAGTAGCAGAAAATGCTTTAGTTAGAGTGGATAAATTCATATTTCCTGTTGATTTTGTGATTATAGACATAGAGGAAAATGAGGAAGTCTCATTGATCCTGGGAAGACCATTTATGAAGACTGTCAAAGTAATTATAGATGTTGACAAAGGCAAGTTGAAAATTAAAAGTGGAGATGATGAAGTTAATTTTAATCTGTTTGAAGTTGTAGAATAACCAGCAGACAAAAAAGATTGCCTCAGAATAGATACTTTGGAGGAATTACTCATCTTAACTGAAAAACAAGATTACAAGCATGTTGCACAACCCCAAAGACATCTCAATCTGACTATGAAGGAAGTTGTTCAAAAAGAGGTACTGAAACCTCCTAAAACAAGTATGATTTACCCAATCTCTGACAGTTGTAAGGTGAATCCTGGGATGACAGTTATTCGCAATGAAAATAATAAATTTATTCCCACAAGGACAGTCAAGGGATGGAGAATGCGTATAGATCACCTCGATCACTCACCTGCATGAGCCCTAAAGCAAATAGGCGTCGTCGAGCTGAAGACATTAAACAAGCGCTCCTGGGAGGCAACCCAATATTTTGAATTTTTTTTTTCTTTTTGCAGTTTAAGTTTTTTGTGTATTTTTCTTCCTTAGGTTCTTTCTTTGCAAGATTGCTCCAAGTACATAGTGAACTTCTCCTCAAGACTTTGAAGTCTTACTTTAGTCGCCTGGTGACAGTCCAACTTTTTCGGGAGGGGGTGAGAAAATCTACAGCTGAGGCTGAAGCACAAGAAGAAGGAGAATCAGCAAGTGAATAAAAATAAAAGGGAGGCAATAATTTAATTTAAGTTTAAGTTTTTTTTTGTGTTAAGTTATTTGTTTTGTTAATTTGATGTTTTTAAGTTTTTTTATTATTTTAAATTGTTTTGTTTTTAATGTTTTGAATTGACATCTGGTACTTAAAGTTGATTAATGTTCTCAATTTGATGTGATTAAATTTATTTGTTGTCCCATACAATTTTTGTTAAAATCATATATGAGACTATTGCTTATTGTCTAATTCAAATCTGGAACATGAAAAATAATTTTGATTGTTCTAATAACAAGTGATTTTAGGATGATGAGTATGATAGTGAAAAGAAATTGATGAGGGAATTAGGAATTAACTGAATTGGAGAAGCTAGCCAAAACCCATGTGAGTAGAGTACCACAAACAGTTCAAATTGAGTGTCAACACTTTATGATGATAATTGGTATTGATTGATTTTTTTATGTGATTGCATGTTGGCGAGACTTGAAAATGATAAAGACATTTTTTCTTGTGTAGTGAAAATAAATATAACCCAGAGCCAAATAGTCAACCTGCATTAATTATAGGACATCCATTTGAACTCCATTTGAGCCAAAAACAAAATTATATTTTAAACAGAACCCCTGAGCCTAAACAATATTTATCCACATTCTTATATTTGAGAAATGAAATGATTATGAATGTTATCATTCTTCCTACAGGCATTGTTGGGTATTGTTATTGTTTTCTTACAAGTATTGGTGAGTATTGTTAAAAAAAATAATAATAAAAAAAAGAGGAAAAAAAAGGTTGAGAAAAAGGGAAAAGAAAAGCATAAATATTGAGGCTAAGCCAAAATGATAAATCCAAAGTATGAGGAAAGGAAAAAGAATTTAAAGTGGTGTGAATAATAACTAGTTAGATTGTTAACTCACTATTATTATGTTGAAGCAAAAGCATGAATTCTGAGACCCGACTAAGGAAATGTTAAACAAGAATCATTCATATGATTTGAATTTCTCAAATACTTTTGTATATTCTAGAAAAATCAATGAATTCTTTCTTGGTTCAACCCTATTACAAGCCTCAAAAGACCTTTTGATTTAAGTCTTGCTTAACAAATGTTGATTGCTTGAAGATGATTATCAATATTAGATTGTCTAAATGAAGTGATTGAATGAGATAAACACTTACCCGTGAGAGTTAGAGATGATTATATATCACTATATTTGAGAGATCATGCTTCTCTAAGGATAGTTGAGGACTAATTATTCTTTGTTAGTTTCTGTAACTTGAATGCTTATGTATTCTATTTTCATTTGGAGTTGTGAGCATCACATCTGAAAAGTTATTTTTATGTTGTGGTTCTGGAAGAGAAAGTGATAATAGGTGATGATTTTGTTTTGAAAAAATTACTTTGCTTGGGACAAGCAAGATTCTAGGTTTGGGGAAGTTGTTAAGTGGTAAAAAGTTGATATAATTATACTTCGAATTGTTATGAAATCACTTAACTTATGTTAATTTTAATCTATTTTTCTCCCAATGTAGGATGAATTCGATAATACCTTAATACAAGAGTAAGGAGCATAATTGTCAACATAATTTAAGCAAAACTGAAAGGAGGAAGAAGATTTTTAGCATTAAAGTCGCTCAAGCGAGATAGACTTTCGCTTGAGCGAGATAGATTCTCACTTGAGCGAATACCAGTTATTCTTCTCTGGAAGTCAGTTGTTCAAGTGCCAATAAATTCGTTTGAGCGAATATTAGTTATTCGTCTCTGAAGCTCACTCGCTCAAGCAAGTGATTTGTCGCTTGAGCGAAAATAGGGAACTTTCGCTTGAGCAAGTGTTGTCGCTTGAGCGAAAGACGCGAAACCCAAAAGCTCAATTTCTCCTATAAAAAGATAAGATGAGTTTTGAGAAAGTAAGCGGTTTTGGGGAGAAGAGGCGCGACTATTGCTAGGGTTTCGTCCAATCTTCATCAATTCTTCATTTCTTCCTCATTTGGAGCATTGTAATGGCCAACATGAGTGGCTAACTTCATTCTCTTGGGATTTTGTGCACTTCCTTTGAACTCTTTTGTATCATGGTGATATTTTGAGATATTAATCTATGTTTTGATGTTTTTATTTTTATCCTTTGTACTTTGGAATGATTTATTCTTGATGTTTTGGATATGATTGGAAAATATATCTTGAACCTAAGATCACGGTAAGAATATTTGTTACATTAATTGTCAAGAATGGAATAAATGTATCAATTACTTAACACCCTAAACCTAATGCTGGAAAATCTCTTAAATGTGTGAGAAATCAACATTTATTAAGTTTTCTTATGAATTTTATGTGTGAGGAATCAATATAGATGATTTGAATAGGTGGCATCAACATTATTAAGTTAATTGACGTTCTTAATTAACATAGTCATTACAAAAGAGAGATAAGGAAGGAAATCAATCCTAAGTGCCTTTAATTGATCTTTTCTCAACAATTTATAATTCTTTGTCATTTAATTTCAATTTAACTCTTTATGTAAAACTCAATTTATTTTAATCCACTTAATAAGTATATAATTAAAAATTTTCATTGAAACTGTCTTTTGTGGGATCGACTTTTATTTAATTAAAATACTAAACTGCACTATTTTGGAACGATTGCCAATAATTCAACATGAGTTGAAGAGGGCATGAAGACCAAAATGAGTTGATGAATGAACTTCTACTGCAGACGTTGTTTGTTTAACTGGCATCAGAAGATCGGAGGCTTAACATGCACCACAGAATTTGCTACATCTGAGGACTATTCAGGAGTGGTTGCAAAATGAAACGATAGCTCAAGAAAACTACAAAAAATAATATTAGCAATTGGTTATTTATATACATGCCAGACATTTTATCTTGCTATGACACAAATCACAAATGTGTCTCTGCATAGGTGGCTCGCTGAGACAATTTACTAGGCTTTTATGCAGTTATTTCTCCCTGTTGATGATGCATGCATGCCTTTTAGGTACAAGCATAAAACACAAATATTAGCCACACAAAGTGAATCTTACCAACAATCAGGAATAGACAAAAAACACAAAAGTGAGTGATTTAGACCAGGTAAAGAAGTCAGCCTGAGGAGAAAAGGCAGCTAAACTTGGAAGAATAAGAAATGGTTGTCTTAACTCGCCATGCATCACATGCACATGCATGGCACTGTGACCGAGTCCAACTAATACATAACATTAAAATCACAAACAGTTGTCCCCAAATTATCAATGGGAAAACAGATAAATACTCATACTGTTTATTGCAAGACCATCTCATTGCCAAAATTATCATTTATACATATTACACCTATCAGTTTCAATGAACTAAATGACTAAAAAACGAAATAAGGCAGTAACTATATCAATCACATTTGACCTTCATACAACAAACTTGCTTTACAACTGTGTAGTCAATGATACAACAACCAAAATCCAAGGACAAGAATGCAACTAAGATCACTGTTGAGAACCATCAAATCTCACACTATCAAGCCATGAAACAACTACTTCAATAGAGGGCCTCTGCCTAGGATCTTGGTTTAGACATTTACAAGCAATGGCAAACACCTCCAGCAGCTGTTTCTCATGATCCTTATGCCAAATTGCTGGATCAAATATTTCCTGCTCCTTATTCTCAGATTTCATTTGAAACACCCAAGAAACCAGATTTCTGCAATTTTTCCCCTTGATGACTTCCACAGGCCTTCTACCAGTTAGAAGCTCAAGAAGAACAACACCAAAACTATAAACATCACCCCTGAAGGTCGCTGTCAGTGTCTGACTATATTCTGGAGGAATATATCCTAAAGTTCCTACCAAGTCGGTTGTGACATGAGTGTCGTATGGTTGAAGTAGTCGTGAGAGACCAAAATCAGCCAAATGAGCTTCAAATTTGTCATCCAAAAGAATGTTGCTAGATTTAACATCACGATGCACTATGAATGGTTCACACCCCTTATGCAAGTAAGTTAATCCTCGTGCAGCCCCTTGTGCAATCTTGAGTCTTGCATCCCATTTTAGAGCTGAGCTTTCATCCACACACTCATGCAGCCAATAATCCAAGCTTCCATTCTCCAAGTACGAGTATATTAGCAATCTGTCATTACCATGCCGACAATATCCTTTCAGAGAAACAAGGTTCTTGTGTTGAGCTCTTGAGAGGGCCTCTACTTCAGCTTGAAATTCACGTTCCATCTGACCACAATCCCCTGAAAGTCTCTTGATAGCTGCTTTTGTGCCATTTGGAAGATATGCCTTGTAGACAAGACCAAACCCACCACAACCAATAATATTTGCCTGGTTAAAATTGTTTGTGGATTTTAATAAATCTGCAACTGTAAGATCCTTGCAATCTGAATTCTGGAAGAGCACCAACTTTGAGGAAACAAGTGCCTCAGATAACCTGTGTGGCCTGCTATTGAGTTCCTCATCATAGTTATCCATGGGCTTATCGTCATCCCTCCTTGACATTCTCAGCAGAATAATTGCAAGAAGCAGTGCAAGCCCTATCCCTATACTGATTGTTATGCCAAGGACATTGCTTCTACCAAGCTTTTTTGAAGAACCGGAAGAAATGATGGGCTTTGTATTGTTGACAATTTTGCAAGGAGAATCAATTTCCCTACAAAGCCCCATGTTGCCCTCAAAGCTTGAACTTGGAAAGCTTAAAAATTGACCCCCAGTTGGGATTGATCCATCTAATCGATTATATGCAACACTGAACTTTGACAAGAATGTGAGATTGTTAAATGATGGAGGAATCTCTCCAGAGAGATCATTATAAGACAAATCTAAGGTTTCCAAGTTCTCCATCTCTGAAATAGTGCTAGGAATGGTACCAGTGATGTTGTTCCTGCTTAAATCCAAGACATGGAGTGCTTTCAATTGTCCAATTTCGGGCCATATATTTCCACTCAATATGTTATTGCTCAAGTAAATTGAAGGTGGGAAACTTGAGGCTTGGTTATACTGCAGTCCACTTGCACTTGTGTTTCTCTTAACAAAGAGAGGAATGAATGCAAAGGCAGCAAGATTTGCTCTATTACAGTTTGCACACATGAGGCCCTTCAACTCTGTCAAACTTTTTGGTATTTCTCCTGTCAGAGAATTATTTGAGAAATCCATATAGAACAAACTGTTCATCTGACCAATCCAAGAAGGAACACTACCATTCAAATGGTTCCAAGACAAGTCAAGAACTGCTAACTTCCTGCAATTGGATAACCAAGAAGGGATGTGGCCTTTAAGACCACAGTTTCCAAGTGCTAAAATCATAAGGCTCTCAAATCCCACAGAGACACTTTCTGGAATTTCCTCACCATGGAAATTCTTAGTGAGGATAAGAGTCGTGAGATTTTTGCACTGCTGCAAAACAGACACTGCGCGGAATAAGTTCTCAATGCTGTTGTTTGACAAGGATACAAACAAAAGCGCACTGAGGTTTGCATAGTTTTCAGGGACAGAACCAGTTAAACCATTCCTAGCAACGCTTAAAACCTTCAACTCACGACAATAGGACAGGGAAGTTGGAAGGTGTCCAGTGAAATGATTAGTAGCAAGGTCGAGTGTTTGAAGATTAGACAAACCAGTGAAATTCAGATCAATAGGCCCAGACAATGAATTATTTCGAAGGTTAAGCACCCTAAGCTTAGAGCATAAAGCCAAGGCGGAGGGCAAGGGTCCAGAAAATGAATTGCCGTGTGCTTCTAATTCTTCTAGCTGCAAAAGATTCCCAAAAACATTTGGAAGTTCTCCAGAAAACCTGTTTCCACAAAGCACCAGAATTTTTAGGTTAGAGAGCTTACTTAGTTGCACGCTTAACTGGCCAGATAAATTGTTGGCAGAGACTGAGAGTTCCTCCAAGGCTGACAATGAATACAAGGAATCTGGAAGACGGCCAGTAAATGAATTGGAATTCAAATGCAACTGTTGGAGAGATGTGGGGCAGTTATTCAATGCCTCAAGATCACCAATAAAATTATTTGCTGACAAATCAAGGGTTTGAAGATCCTCGGTAGCACTGCAAATTTGTGAACTGAATATGCCAGTGAATGAATTGTTGCTCACATTGAGAGCAAGGAGATGAGGGAATTCCCCAAAAGGGAAGAGAACTCCAGAAAGTAAATTACTAGAAATATTCAACACTTCAATGGATCGTAAACGAGAAAGAGCTCCACCAACAGGCCCAGACAGCATATTATGGCTCACATCAAGGAACTTCAACAGCTTCAACTGGGAGAACTCCACAGGCAATCCACCTTTAAGGTGATTCAATGAAAGATTCAGCACATTGAGCTGATCTAGCTGCGCTAAAGAGGGTGAAATTGTACCATTGAGACCCATTTCAGGCAGGATCAACTTGGTCACTCTACTAGTAACTGTTCCACCGCCTCCAATCACATTATCACAAACAACTCCACGCCAGTTGCAGCAGAGACTGTCATTGGACCATGCTGTGATGATAGACCCGCTTGTAAGGTTGCCTACAAACTTCTTCAGAGCTGATAAATCACGAGGGTCACAGGGGGCTTGATTATTATTAATCCCTACTGACAAGCAAATTAAGCAAGCCAAGAAACACCATTGCAAGAGTGTCACTAAGCAACATTTGAGCAGCACCATTGCTGAAACCAAACTGATATATTCTCAGCTCAGAATCAGGACTAAGCTCCCATGAATACAGCAGAAACTAGTATCACAGAAAAGTGCAGGGCTGTGCTTAAGAAGAATAACTACACTGAAGTATCTATTTTGTCACAGCTCCAAGACTTTCAACCCTCAAACTGCAACAAACAACTTGCACCTTGCAAAGGAAAGCCCCAATTTGAAGGTAAAGATTTGGATCCCCAATCCCCACCAAAACCAAATCCCAAGAACAAGAGATCTAGACAGTGGGAAAACCCCTACTCAAACTGAAAGCAGATTCAGAAACACCAGTCTTGAAGAAAGAGATAAGATGCCCAAATGAAGATACTTATATCCCGTATCCCCAAACACCAAAGAAAGTAGAACAGGGACCATACGTCAACAGCTTGCGGACGAAGCAACCAACAGTGGCCATTAAAAAAATGAAAGTGTGACAACAATCAACAACACAAGCAGAGGGTGCGAGATCCCTCAGTCCCCACCTGAAATGTAAGATCTTTGAGCTAAAAAACAAAAACCCGTAACCTCAAAAACTCAACTCAACTCAACAGCTACCATTTGGCATGAAAAAAACCCGCGGGATCTCTCAGAACTCAAAACACACCCAAACCCTTGTACACAAAAATGAAATTTGTGTTTACTTGGTGCAGCAGAAACCAGAAAGGTTTGAAATTTAAGCCCGAAGGTGAACTGCGGGACAGAGCAAAGAAAAGGGAGCCAAGAACAGTGCCCTGAGAACCTACTCTCAACAAACTTTCATCAAACGGGTCCCCTTCAGCTTCCAAACCAAACCCTTTTTTTATTTTTTTCTTCCTCTCCTAAGATTTTGATATTTTTTTTCTGTCAAAGGGTAATAGCTGTCAGCTCTCTCTGATTTTTCAAACCTAAACAGTGATAGATAGAATCTAGAGGAAGACAAGGATAGAAGAAATCTCAAATCAAGAAACCATGATGTAGGAGAGACGAAGTAAGGTAAAAGACAAAAAAGGAAAGTTCTCTCTCTTTACTCAGAATCCCCTAAATATTAATTAGAAGAAATAAAATGATTTCCTTGAACATATTTTTATTATTAAATAACGTGTAAAGTTGTATACGAATTTATTAAAGCATTAGAATCTGTGTCCTATACAATGATTTTATTTTATTTTTATCAGATGCATTCAATTCATTACAAAACATATTAAATATCTGGGATATTATTCAATACAGTGTATCATTTTTTTTATTAAAATATATAGTATTTATTAAAAAATAGTTATTAATTCTTCACCTAATATAAGAAGTGTGAAGACAGTTGATAGGGAGATGTTGATTATTATAGTATTATTCATATAAGTATTAGTTAGAAGATTTGAAAAGAAGACAGAGGGGCTGACTTGTGTAGAATAGATTTGTGTGTGTTGGAGTTTATGGATTTGATGAAAGTGGACAAGAAATGTTTATGGGAGGAAAAGGAAGAAACAGCAAAAAGTGTGTGTGAGGTGCTGACTTAGGAACACATGCATGCCCCATTTTTCTCTCTGATTGTCAATGCGGGGCACCTAATTTTGTCTCTTCCTTTCTCTCTCTTTGGAATGGATTCCACAACATGGGTGTGGTAAAACCAGGAACAACAAATAATAATAATGGATGGGTTTTCTTTGATTCACCGTTCAAAGTTCAAACCCCATTTCCATCATGCGCGTGGACGCACATACTCATACCTCCCACCCTCTCCTTGCTTGGTTTCCATGCTTTTCACATATCCATTTCTCAATTTCTAGAAAGTAAATATGTCTATATCATTAAGATGATTCATTGCATATTTAAAATATTATCATTAAATTAAAATCTTTGAAAACATTTTATTAAATAATTCATATTACTATTTCCTTTATTTTAAAATGTACGAAGTTTTGATAAACAAATTTTATTAAATATTTATAAAATTTATTAATATTTTTATCATTACTCTGTTTAAAAAAATATATACATATATATGACTATTAAGGTTTAACTACATAAACTAGTATAATTATTAATTCCAGTTATTTTTAATAAATTTATTAATCTTTTTTTATTAATATCTATATTATCTTAATATTCTCTTTAATCAAAATAATATTAAGTAACTTGTTATATATTATCTTTGTAATAAATCTAATTAAAAGATTAAGGTATATTTGGTAAAAGAGTCATTAATATAATATTAAAATTTTCCAACCTAATCTATTTAGAATCAGAAAAAAAATTATCCAAAACTTGGTATATTTTGAAACATAAGGAAACATAAGGAATAAGTATACTCTTTATTTTTCAAAAGTTTTAAATGAATTAAAATCCTACTTTTATAGCAAATTGTACCTTGTACCTGACTCCATTAATATATTATTAAGTGGATTGAAATTTGTAATATTGGACCGATAGCTTCAATCCCTTCAAAATTTTCTAATCTGATAGATAATGAATGAATCAGTAAAAAATTAGATAAATCAGTTAAAAATTAAAAAAATTGGTGAAATTGAATAAATTAAGGGATCTCTCATTTTTTTTCTTTTTTAAAAAAGGTTAAATGATATCATTTTGTTTTGTTTTCTTTTTTTTATTATTTAACATAGAGATACACAATTGTGAAGAGAGAAAATTCATTTTTTTATTTGTAGTGGTATTTTTCTTTCATTATGTTATTTTTTCTTATAGTTATCATTATCATCGTCATTCACTGTCTTTGATTGTCTCATTGATACGTTATTCTGTTGTAGTTGTTATTTATTATTATCATCACTATAATCATTTATGGAAATACAATGTAAGAATCACGATCTATTAATTTCAAAAATTAATTCGATGAGTGGGTGATCGGTTAAATGCAGTAGGTTATCATTAGGTTCCATAACCATGTCTTGAAATAAAATAAAATGTATAAAATTTGATATTAGATGTAATGAAAGATATGATACAATCTTTTTCCTTAATTGTTTTTCAAGTTACATGTAATTTTTTTCCCTAATTATTTCAAATTAGGTACAACGACGATCTATAACTCTAATTATTTTTAACTCCAAATGTTTAATAATATATTTATTCATGTTACTTTTCTTCATATATTATATGAATCATTTTTATTATTATATAATATTTTCTTAAATAGTATTTATATAAGATTAAACTTGTTATTATATTATAATAAACTTATGTTAAATTTGATTATGAAAATATATTATTTTATTAAATTCGATTTAACTCCAATTTAATTCTCCCTTAGATCCAATTGAATATTTAAACCCTAAATTCACACATTAACTAGTATAATGATCGTGCAATTTTAAGAACCATGGTATCAACTAATAATATAATGGAAAATTTATTATTTTTTATCTCTTCAACTAACTTCATTAATATTTAGAACGTGTTTATCTCTAAAATGAATAACATTTATGATGAAAATGTAATAAATCTAATTAAAAGAAAAATATTAAGTGAAATTATAAACAAAAATAAAAAAGACAAAGACTTCATAAGGAAATTAAAGACTATGGCCGAAGATTGATTTACTAGTACACCGAAACTAAGTCTCGTAAAAGAATGAGAAATTCTTTTTAGAAGAGTTGAACAAATTTTTTTTTTGAAGTATTTATATTAAAAAAAAAATATATATATATATATAGAGAGAGAGAGAGTGATGTAGCCAAAGTAATGTACAACATAGATAGAAAGGAAGAAATTACGAAATATTGATATGTGATTTAGGTAGGTTCGTTTATTGTTTTTAGAACTGTTTTCAATTTTATTTTTCTTTTTTTTTTAGAGTAGATTCATTTACGGTTTTTAAAATCGTTTCAATTTTTAAATTTTAAAAAACTAGAAAACTTGTTTTATAAGTGTTTTGTTTAAACGGATTTTATTTTTTTAGTTTTTAAAAATTATAATTATAAAATTAATAAAAAATGTTTTTTTAGTTATCTATTTTCTTAAGAAATATTAGTATTTGTTTATAATTTATATTATTCTCTTTCATTTGAAAGATAAAATTATCAAATAATGTTTTTCTAATTTTTTAAAAATGATTTTTAAAGTTAATCTCTAAGTTTTTTTTTTTTAAACTAATCAATCAAACCTTTAATCTCAAAATATTTCACTTTACTAAGCCATAACCTCTAGGTTAGAGTGTTTCTTTTGATGTGTGGAAGAAATATTTACTCTAATCAGCAATTAAAATTTTACATTATATGAATAAATATTATATAAATAAGTATGCATTACTGTTCTTTTACAAAATATGAATATGTTAGTTCAAATAACTTTAAATATGTGATATCAGTATAAATTATTTTAATGAAATGGAGAAAAAAAATACTACATCAGTAATAATATACTATTTAATCACTAAAATTTTAAAAAACCCAATGTACTGATATAATATTTAAAATAGAAAGCCAGAGTTATAATTAAGATATATAATATTAAAATATAAATTATTACTACTTTTGTTTTGTTTGTAATAATATATTTGATTATTTAATAATATTAAAAGTCTGGTGCAAATTTTGTCTCTTAAATCTTTATAATGTTTCTAAGTATCACATATTTATAACATAATTACACATAACAATAAAGATAATTTCTACAAAATATTACTTTTATTAATTATAATTTTTAAAATCTCTTTTCATAATTTATTAATACAAAATATAAAATTTTATAATATTTAATAAAAATAAATAAAGAAAACAAATTTAAAATTATTATAAAAATACTTTATAATTTTTTTAATTATATGGTGATAAAAATTATTTATCTATAATTGAAAATAATGATTAAATTGGATTAATTAAATAAAATATATAAATATTTATTTCAATATTTTCATGAGTTTTATATAATTTAAAAATTGATAATAATTTATATTTTTTTCTTAATTTTACTTAGAAAATTTTTTATAATAAAATTAAATTAAAATTTAAAATAAATAATATCATATACTTTTTAAAAATTATATTAAAATTTTAAAATAAATAATATCTCCACAATTTATGAATATTATTGTGAATAATAAGACTATTTAGAAAGAAATGTGTTTAGGCGTAAAAAGTTTTGAAAGGACCTGTGAATGTTTTCAACGGTTTGACAAATTTAAGCCACCAACTGAGCTTGACCTTTCTTCTAGTCAATAACAAATTTCCTTTGCTTTCGGTGGAGGGAAAATCCGAGACATGTATATAATTTTCTTCCATTTGAATATCGTGCCACATGAAATAAAATGTCTGATTTCATTTTTGCTTATTTTATATCTGACATATTGGTATATAAAATATCATCCCATCTTAATAAATTCAAGTAGGTTACATGAGTCAAATTAAAAGAGATAAAAAAAACAATGTAGTAACTTTTTCTTTTGGTTTTCACCTTATCATTTTATTATCAATTTATGAAAATTTCAATTAATTTATTTATAGAAAGTTTTTTACATCAACTTGTTATTATGAAATATTTTTATAAATAAATATGAAGAATTAGAATGTTTATATAAATCAAATTTCGTCTTAATAAATAGAATCGTAAGATAAAGTTTATATTCTATAGATTATATATTATAATTCATTGATAGTAATGTTGATTTTTAACACATAATCTCGCATCAATAATATTATTTCATAACTATTTATATAAAATTCTCAAAAAACATCATTAAGATAAATGTTTTAGTCCCAATCGTTCATAATTATCTAAATAAAGTACAAAAGTCTAAAGTTTTAAAAAGAAAAGTATACAATGTATTTGTATAAATATTGTTTTCTTATAGGGAATTAAAATATTTACGTAACTATAAATACACATTTTCAAAATTATACATATAGCAATCAATTCTTATAACAATATATAATATGTCAAAATAACTCTCTTACCTTTTGTTTGTTTTTTTTGTCCAATATTCCATAAAATTCGTAAAATTTTCAATAACTCACATGATTTATCCTATTCACAATATTCCTTAATCAACAAATTTAAAATTATTATATTTATGACAAGAGTGCCATATGGCATTTGAATTTAAAAAAAAAATAAAGAATAAATTTAAAAAAATAAGAGGTTTTGAATTTTAAAAAGAAAGTGATTTAAAATAGATAAAAAATAAACAATATTTTTTTTATCTATAAACTTTTTAATTTAATTATAAAAATATTAATTCTTTATCACATAAAACCACTTTCATCCTTAAATCAAATTGAACTTTGATTCTTACAATATACTTTATTATAATTAAATTCTTTAAACCAAATTATAAAATATAATTAAACTTTATTAATATATTATAATTTCATCATATTTATCTATAATTTGATATATCTAACATAAAATTCTCGAATATGTATGAGATTTATAATATACTTTTATCAATATAATTTAAAAATGAAAACTTTGAAAATAATATGAATTGAAATTGCGAAACACACTTGTAATTTTATAAAAAATAATAATGATGAAAATAAAAATAAAAATGTTATTACTGTCTCAAAGAATTCATATAAAAATAACGACAACTAATAAACGTTTCTATGATAAGTTAAATTGTATAAAAACAAAGCGCAATGAGTAGTAGTCAAGAGTATAATGAATATGTTTTTCAATAGCAACAATTTTTATCATTATTAATAACACGCAACTCTTAAATAATTTTAGATATAAAACATATATAATAAGAGTTTCTTATTCTAAAAAATATAAAATAAAAATGTATGATATCACATTAAT